GAGCAGCCGGCGCGGCGGACGGGCGCCACCGACGGGGTGGCCCGGCAGGCCACTGCCCGCCGCGGCTCTGGCCTCCAGCTTTGTCTTGCTGGGTCTCTGGCTCTCACGGTTTTGCCTGTGTTTGCGAAAACCCGGGGTCCCAGGGAGTCGGCAACTGGGGCTGAAGGAGGGGCCAGGAACCTGGACCCCCGGGTGTGGGGGAGGAGGTTGGGGACCTGGTCTCTCCGGTCTGAGGAGCAGCGGCTGGGGGATGGGACACCCGAGTCAAAAGGAGGAGGTTGGGGTTCCGGACCCCCGAGGTTGAGGGAGGGGCTGGAGCTTGGACTCGCGGGGCTCAGGGAGGAGGCGCCCGCGGAGCCGTCCACGCGCGCCACCCAGTGGTGGCAGAGTCCCCGCCTGCTTGTGGAGGCGGCGGCCGCGGCTCCCGGCCAGGTGTGAAGGTGGAGCAGATGGTGAAGAGGAGGGAGTGGGAAGAGGGCCCAGGCTGCTGCCAAATCCCAGGACTTCGACGGAACCATCACCATGGAGACCCAAGAAGGTGGAAAGGACCTAGTCCCGTGCTTTCTCTGGACCTGGGACTGCGTTCCTGGGTCTTCCACGGAGACACCGCGCGGTTCCTCGCGCGAACTACAGGCCCCAGGGGCCGCTGCCCCTCGCCGCCTGCTTTGGAACGGCCGCGCGTTCCGAGGGTTGCTGGGAGTTGTAGTTTTCTGAGGCCAAGGGCCGCGACCACGCTGCGCCCTCTAGTGGACACAGCGCCAACACGTGCTTGTTCAGGCCTGTGGGACATGATCCCCCTAAACCTTTGCATCTCACCATCAACTGACCCCACACCCCCAATTCATTGGGTTCCACCCAAAGTCTCTTCACTGTTCTTCTAACATTTACCATGGACGCTGCCTCCTTATCTATGCTCTTAGAACTCACTGTGGAAGGTGTTGGTAAGCATTCATGACTTCAACACTTCAGCCAACCTGTTGAAACCTGGGTCAGGTATCGGGGCCCACGGGGAGGATGCTCAGTCAGGGGAGATCTAAAAGCTTTCCCGGAAAGGCACAGAGGATGATAGGGACTGATGGGGTCGGGGGAGGTGTAGCCTTAGGGGTGCCTCGAGCAGAGGAAACAGTATCTGCAGGAAGCAGGAGCTTGCTAGGTGCGGCTGGATGAGGCATATACAATTCCAGGATGGGCAGCCTGTCGGGACGAGGAGAAGGGCTGGAGCTAGTGTGGCCCATGTCACCATAAGCCTTGGGAATGTCCCCTGTGAGGGTGAGACACTGAGCAACTCCCTGGGTTGTACTGTGGGGTTGCTGAGGAAACGGAATGAAAGGAACTCGGGGAAGGAGCACAGCCCACCTGGTGGGTGCCTCTTTCAGGGAGCGGGTACTGGGCGAGGCCAGAGGCACGAGGGCGGTCAGACCACAGGAGCCTGGGACTCCTCCTAACAGGCCCTAATAACCGCTCCGCTCTGAG